GCTTTGACACATGAGGACACTGAGGCACAGAGAAGGGACTTACCTATGGAAAGGGGGAGGGGAAGGGAGGGCAGGGAAGGGAAGGGAAGGGGAGGGTAGGGGAGGGCAGGGGAGACAGCTAATGCCTGCTGGAACCTGAACATAAACTCAGATCTGTCAAACTGCAGAGTTCTGCAAGCAATGGCATTTCAGGTTTTTTTTTTTTTTTTGAGATGGAATCTCCTCTGTCACTGGGCTGGAGCGCAGTGGACTCGCAGCAACCTTCCCCCTCCGGGGTCCAGGGATTCTCCTGCCTCAGCCTCCCAAGTAGCTGGGACTACAGGTGCGCGCCACCTCACCCAGCTAATTTTTGTATTTTTAGTAGAGATGGGGTTTCGCCATGTTGGCCAGCATGGTCTCGATCTCTTGACCTTGTGATCTACCCACCTTGGCTTCCCAAAATGCTGGGATTACAGGTGTGAGTCAATGTGCCTGGCTGCATTTCAGATTTTTAAAGGAAAAGATGAGATTGTGGGAGAGGCAGTTCCAATCCTCATCAAAGATGGATCATCATCTTCCTATTACCTATGGACCTGTTCTTTTCTTTCAAAAAAAAATTTTTCCTTTTTCTTTCTTTCTTTGTCTTTCTTTGTTTCTTTGTTTCTTTGTTTCTTTCCTTTCTCTCTCTCTTTCTTACTTTCTTTCTCTCTTTTCTTTCCCTCCCTCCCTCCCTGCCTGCCTTCCTTCTTTTTTTTTTTTTTTTTTTAATTTTTTTTTTTTTTTTTTGTACTCAGAAAATGATTTGGTTCCAATGCACCTTCCTTCTTTTTTGAGACAGAGTCTCGCTCTGTCACCCAGGATAGAGTGCAATGGTGCGGTATTGGGTCACCTCAACTTTTGCCTCCTGGGTTCAAGCAATTCTCCTGTCTCAGCCTCCCGAGTAGCTGGGATCACAGGCACCCACCATCATGCCCAGCTAATTTTTGTATTTTTGTAGAGACGAGGTTTTACCACGTTGGCCAGGCTGGTCTCGAACTCCTGACCTCAGGTGATCCGCCCTCTTTGGCCTCCCAAAGTGCTGGGATTACAGGCATGAGCGACCGTGCCCGGCCTTCTATGGATTTGTTCTGTACTAATTTCACTTTTTGAAAACAACGCCATAACTTCTCTTCTTGGCAGAGAGATTTGTACATAAGCAATTACAGAGAGTCCTAGAAAATAGTGTAATTCACTGGGAGGGGTGTGCCAAAAAGGCAATATGATTAGTTTCACTTCCTTGTGAAAATTAGAATCTGTAACATAACAGCACTCATATGACTACTGGGCTCTGGTCTGTTTCTTTTCATCCATTCTTTTTTTTTTTTTTTTTTGAGACAGGGTCTTACTATGTTGCCCAGGCTGAAGTGCAGTGGTGTGATCATGGCTCATTGTAGCCTCAACCTTCTAGGCTCAGGTGATCCTCTAGCCTCAGCCTCCCAAGTAGCTGGGACTATAGGCACGTACCACCACACCCAGCTAATTTTTAAAATTTTCTGTAGAGATGAGGGTCTCCCTATGTTGCCCAAGCTGGTCTGGAACTCCTGGGCTCAAGTGATCCTCCCATCTTGGCCTCCCAGAGTACTGGGATTACAGGTGTGAGACCCTGCATCTGACCTGGTCTGTTTCTTTTTTAAGCTTTTGCTTCATGGTTTCCAGGCAGTGCAGTCCTAGGCAAAGAGACACGGGAGTCAAGATGTCTGACAAATATTTTCCATTTACTCACTTGGGTGATCCTGAACTGTGTCATGTCCACGTCTAAATTTCCTCTATAAAATGGGGATCTGGTCCACTAGAAGTGGGAAGATCGCTGAAACGTGAAAATCACACTGAGTCACTTGGTCAAAAATATAAAAACACATGATAGCTCTGCATCTAAGGATCTTTTTGTGTATTCTAGCCCCACAGGAAACCCCAGGTCAGCCACCAGCTACATACTCATTGGTAAATAAAGTTAAAAATAAGAAGACTGTTTCCATCCCGAGCTACATTGAACCTGAAGATGATTATGACGATGTTGAAATCCCTGCAAATACTGAAAAGCATCATTTTGAAACAACCATTTCTTCTTTTTGGCAAAGCTGAAGAGGGTTCACATGATTTATTTTAAAACAGTCAAGAATGGTTGAACTTCAGGAGGTCTCTGGGCCTTGAAAGCCAGTGGTGATTTTATGAAGCTCTATAAGATAAAGCACTTCCCAAACCTTAGATGAAGACACCCCTGCAATCAGATGACTGCAGACAGAGGACATAGATGCTCAGCTCTGAGGACTCAGAGGGCTCAGCCTTGTGCTGCTGAGGGAAGTTTCCATGGGGATGACCATGGGCTCCATGGCTCCCTCTATGAGAAACTACTCATTTCTTGGTACTCTTTCCCTCTTCATTCCCTTGGTTTGCATGGTTCTGAGTGATCTTAAATGTCAGCATTCAGTTGTACAGACCGTCCCAGGCTCCCATCCCCAGCAAGGTGGTCTTTACCCATTCCACTCTACCCACCTCCTGCACTGTGAGGCTGTGGGTGAGTTATAGCTGAGTGCTCTTGTGCCCAAGTCCCCACACCACATCTTGCAAGTTTGCAAGGGCAGGGAGTACTTTTTGTTCTAGTGAACCCTCCCTACTTATATACCCTGCAAACCCCAGTGCCTTTTTATGATGTAGGCCAAGGCCAAGCTCACATCTGTAATCCCAGCACTTTGGGAGTCTGAAGCAGGTGGATCACCTGAGGTCGGGAGTTCATGATCAGCCTGACCAACATGGAGAAACCCCATCTCTATTAAAAATACAAAATTAGCTGAGCATGGTGGTGCATGCCTGTAATCCCAGCTATTCAGGAGGCTGAGGCAGGAGAATTGCTTGAACCCAGGAGGCAGAGGTTATGGTGAGCTGAGATTATGCCATTGCACTCCAGCCTGGGCAACAAGAACAAAACTACAGCTCAAATAAATAAATAAACAAATATATGATGTAGGCCAAATTGACCATAGAGATTCGAGTTTTCACCTAGGTTTTTTCCCCATGCTCACAAGATGCTGGTTTCTAAGCAAGTACAGGTTGTACTGTAACAATGGACAAAGGACAAAAGTTACCTTCTAATTTACACCTAGAAGCATCATTTAGCAATAGATGTGTTGGGGGTGCTACAGGAAAAATTATGGGGAACAGGAAAGAAAGAGGGCATGTAACAATGGCATATTCAAGATGAGAGTTGAGGGGGCTTAAAATCCCCTGCCCATCATTTTCATCATCACTTCCTCAAGATCTATGAAAACAGCCTCAAGCCCCTTCCTTCAAGAACACTGCCCCTGGGCATCTAGGAGGAGGCACAAGGCCCATTGTGATGTGCTGCAGCCAATGAGATGCCAGGGAAGTGGGCTGCTGGCCTGGAGTGGTCCACATACCCAGGGTCTTAGGAGACCCCAGTAAACCCCAGGGCCTCCTGTCCCAAAAGCACCCAGCAACTTGCCCTAACATCTTATTGGCCTGGAGTGGTCCACATACCCAGGGTCTTAGTCCATTTGGTCTACTATAACAAAATTCCTTAGACTGGCTAATTTGTTAAAAACAGAAATGCTGCTGACAGTTCTGGAGACTGGGGAGTCCAAGATCAAGGTGCCAGCAGATTTGGTGCTTGGTGAGGGCTCACTCTCTGCCTCACATCTTTTCACCATGTCCTCACTTGATAGAAGGGGAAGGCAGCTCTCTGGGGCCTCTTTTATTTTATTTTTTGAGACAGAGTCTTTGTCACCCAGGCTGGAGTGCAGTGGCACAATCATAGCTCACTGTAGCCTCAAACTCCTGGGCTCAGGTGATCCTTTCACCTCAGCCTCCTGAGTAGCTGGAACTACAGGCACATGCCACCATGCCCGGCTATTCTTTTTCTGTCTTTTTTTTTTTTTTTTTTTTGTAAAGATGGAGTCTCACTATGTTGCCCAGGCTGGTTTCAAACTACTGGATTCAAATGATCCTCTTGTCTCAGCCTCCCTAAATGCTGGGATTATAGGTATAAGCCACTGCACTGGCTTGGGGCCTCTTTTATAAGGGCATTAATCTCATTCATGAGGGCAGGGCCCTCATGATTAATCAACCCAAAGGGCCCGCCTCTTAATACCATCATCTTGGGGTAACATATGAATTCTGTGGGGACACATAGACCATAGCATTCTGCCCCTGACCCACAAAATCCATGTCTTTCTGATATGCAAAATACATTTATTCTATCCCAATAGCCCTAAAAGTTTTAACTCATTCCAACATCAGCTTTGAAGTCTAAGTCAACATCTCAACTAAATGTTGACTCATTCCAACTATGGGCAAAAATCAAGATATGATTCATCCTGAGGCAAACTGCTCTCCAATTATGAGCCTATGAAATCAAACTACTTGTGTGCTTCCAAAATACAATGGTGGGACTGACACAGGATAGACATTTCCACTCTCAAAGGGAAAAACAGGAAAGAAGAAAGGGGTAATGGGTTCCAAGCAAGTCTGAACCTTAACAGGGCAAACAACATTAAGTCTTAAGGTTTGAGAATAATTTTTGACTTGATGTCCTAGCCCCCAGATATTGGGATGGGGGTTGGGCTCCCAAGGTTCAGGGCAGCCCTACCCCCATGGCTTTGCTGGGCACAGACTACTCTGCAGTTTTCATGAGCTGGAGTCTCTGGCCCGCAGCTTTTCCAGGCTGGAGCTGCACACTGGTGGCCCTATCACTCTGGGGTCTTGGAGGCAGCCCTGTCCCCATGGCTGTGCTGGGCATTGTCCTGGTGGGGGCTCTCTGCCGTGGCCCTGCCCCTTTGGCTGTACTCTGTCTGGGCCTCAAGCTTCCCTCTGGAATCCTTTGAAATCTAGGTAGAGGTAGCAATGCCCTCGCAGCCAATGTACTTTGAGTACCTGTGGATATGGAACTGCTTTAACACCACCATGCTTTACTGTCTATGCCTTCCAGAGGGATAGCCTGAGCCACATTTGGGCCCACTTGAGCCATAGCTAGGGTATCTCAGGAACCCTGTGCCAGAATGCAGGGAGCAGGGCCTTGAAATCGCTTTGCCTTCAAGGTCCTAGCTTTCTGGGCCTGTGATGGGCAGGGTAGCCTCTGAAGATCTTGAGAATGCTTTCAGAGTCATTCTTCCACTGTGATGCTAAGCATCTGGCTTCCATCTACTCATAATAATCTCCTTATCAAAAGTTTCCTTGGTCACATTCTTGGTGTTTTCTCTTCAACAGCTTTTTCATTCTTTATAACACGAGCAGGTTGGTAAATTTCTAAATCTTTAAATTCTGCTTTATTTATTTATTTTTTTAAATAAATAACATCTTTGGCCAGGTGTGGTGGCTCCTGCCTCTAATCCCAGCCCTTTGGGAGGCCAAGGCAGGTGTATCACCTGAGGTCAGGAGTTCGAGACCAGCATGGCCAACAATGGTTAAACCCTACCTCTACTAAAAATACAAAATTAGCTGGGCATCATGACACACACCTGTAATCCCAGCTACTGGGGAAGCTGAGGCAGGAGAATCACTTGAACCCAGGAAGCAGAGGTTGCAGTGAGCTGATATTGCACCATTGCACTCCAGCCTGGGCTAAAAGAGTGAAATTCCATCTCAAAAAATAAATAAATAACATCTTTAATTGGTATCTCTCTGCTAGCATTTTACTATAGGCATTCAAAAGAAGCTTTGCCGCACTCTCAACACTTTACTCAGATATTTTTTCCACCAAATATCCTATTTCATCACTCAGAATTTCTACCTTCCATAAAATACTAGGACACACAATTTAGCCACATTCTTTGCCACTTTATAGGATAATTTTTCCTCCATTTCCCAATAACATGTCTTTATTTTCATCCAAGACCTCATCAGAATGGCCTTTAACATCCATACTTCTACTAACATTCTGTTACAACCTCTTAGGTGATCTTGGAAGAAAATTAAGACTTTCTCTGTAGCTCTCCTCTTCTTCTGAGCCCTTACCAGAATCACCCTTCACAATCTGTTTACAACAATACAGGCCTTTTTGTGTGTGAGAGACAGAGTCTCATTATGTCACCCAGGCTGGAGTGTAGTGGCTCGATCCTGGCTCACTGCAACCTCCACCTTCCAGATTCAAGCAATTCTCATGCCTCAGCCTCCCGAGTAGCTGGGATTATAAGGGTGCGTCACCACACCTGGCTAATTTTTGTATTCTTAGTAGAGATCGGGTCTCACCCTGATGGCCAGGCTGGTCTCAAGCTCCTGACCTCAAGTGGTCTGCCCACCTCAGCCTCCCAAAGTGCTTGGATTACAGGCATGAGCCACTGCACCTGGCCAATACAGGCTTTTTCTAGCATGCACTTCAAAACTCAGCCTCTACCCATTACTTAGTTCCAAAGCCACCCCCAAATTTTTAGATGTTTGTTATTACAGCACCCAGTTCTCAGCACCGATTTCTGTCTTTATCGGGACGGCTAAAACAAAAATACCTTAGGCCAGGTGTGGTGGCTCACGCCTGTAATCTCAGCACTTTGGGAGGCTGAGGTGTGTGTCTCACTTGAGGTCAGGAGTTTGAGACCAGCCTACCCAACATGATGAGACCCTCTCTCTATTAAAAATACAAAAATTGGCCGGGCGCGGTGGCTCAAGCCTGTAATCCCAGCACTTTGGGAGGCTGAGGCGGGTGGATCACGAGGTCAAGAGATCGAGACCATCCTGGTCAACGTGGTGAAACCCCGTCTCTACTAAAAATACAAAACATTAGCTGGGCATGGTGGTGCGTGGCTGTAATCCCAGCTACTCAGGAGGCTGAGGCAGGAGAATTGCCTGAACCCAGGAGGCGGAGGTTGCGGTGAGCCGAGATGGCGCCATTGCACTCCAGCCTGGGTAACATGAGTGAAACTCCGTCTCAAAAAAAAAAAAAAAAAATACAAAAATTAGCTGCGCAGGTGAAGTGTATGTGCAATCCCAGCTACTCGGGAGGCCGAGGCACAAGAATTGCTTGAACCCAGGAGGCAGAGTTTGCAGTGAGCCAAGATTGCGTCACTACACTACTCCAGCCTAGGCGACAGAGCAAAACTCTATCTCAAAAAAAAAAAGAAAAGAAAAGAAAAAAGAAAGAAAGAAAAGAAAAAAAAAAAGCCTTAAACTGGGTAATTTATAAAGAACAAAAATGCATAGGCCAGGCACGGTGACTTATACCTATAATCCCAGTACTTTGGGAGGCCAAGGAGGGCAGATCATGAGGTGAGGACTCTGAGACCAGACTGAACAAAATGGTGAAACTCCATCTCTACTAAAAATGCAAAAATTAGCCAGGTGTGGGGGCGCATGCCTGTAGTCCCAGCTACACAGGAGGCTGAGGCAGGAGAATTGTTTGAACTAGGGAGGCAGAGGTTGCAGTGAGCCGAGATCGTGCCATGGCATTCCAGCCTGGGCAAGAAGAGTAAATTTCTAACTCAAAAAAAAA